TACAGTTTAGTCCTCGTCCACATGTTCACAGGTATTTATTAAAAGAATCTCTGTCAAGAGAAACTTTAAACACCTGCCTGTGAGTGGACGGGTCCAAAGAGTGACACAAAGTTTTTCCACCCTTACCTCGAACAGATGGTGTCCTGATCAGACCTCGAGCTCCGACGTGAGCTTTGGCTGCTGGGAACCGAAACTGACCTGGAATGGCAGCGTAGGCCTGGGGGGCATAAAACACGGGTGCACCGAGATATGCCGCCGAGGGGTCGTACACCTGCAGCACCACAAAAACATGTGATGTGATTTATTCGAAATTCCCCCAAAAAATCTTGTTGATTTGATTTATTTAGGCGGCTGTCATGCCTCTGTATGATGTGATGACTTCAAGTGTCCACTAGATGGAGGGAGATGCTACATCATCAACTTGCCTTTAATCTTCACGTCAGTGATCAACGTCAGGTTGACTTGAAACTGATTCATCAAGTTCATGTAAGTTTCCCTTCACCTGTCCAAACATGAACCCGGTGTCAGAGTTTGTGGTGCGTTCAGGGTCGTACCTGTCCCATGGTGTAGGCGGTGTAGTCAGTCTGCAGCAGAGAGCCTCCACGTCCTCCCGTCCCTCTGGTGTAACGTACGTAACTGTCCTTGTCCACCGGCTTGGCCAGACTCACCTCGATAGGAGACCCGTCCACCACCTGAAGCACAATGCAGTTTAACGCCTCCTTTTCTAGATTTCATGTGTTCAGATGTGATGTGAGAGTGGAGTCTATGCACCGATTCTGATGGACCTTGATGAACCTTAATGGACGTTTATCTATGATGAGACCCTGATGGATGCAGATAGACCTTGATGGACCCCAGAGGACATTGATGGACTGTGATGATGGACTATGATGGATTATGACGGACCCTGATGTGCTTCATTCCAGTCAATTCATCCTTCTGTCCATCCTTTGGTCTCTCGGTCAGAGCCTGCCTCTACTGTATGTGTGTTTGTGATCAGTGTCTCCTTGATGTCATATATACAACATCACAAGCGTGAACTTGTGATTGGTTACAGCTGCTGACCTTTCCGTTTAAAGCATTGATGGCGTTGATGGCGTCTTCTCTCTGCATGAAATGGACAAAGGCGTAGTCTCTGATCTTCTTCACTCGCTCCACTGCACCTGCAACACAAACCCTCTTCTGTAAAATCACGTTATTATCTTTTTCTACAAACTTCAACCTGGTGGCTCCAGTTAAGTTTAAAGAGATGTTTTTTAGACCATTCTGTGTTTTTTGTCTTTTTAACGTGAACATCATCATTTTATCAAAACCAGCAATTTATTTTTGACATTATTTTCCTTGTTGCTGCATTTAGAGACAGTTTGACATCTGAGCTTTGAAAGTTTAAAATGTGTTTTTAGTACCTGGTTTGAGGCTGTTGAACTCCTTCTCAATGGTCTCCTCTGTGGTCTGCAGCATCAGGTTCCTGACGTACAGTATCTTGACAGTTGCCATGGTATCCTCATCAACCTCCACCTCCGGCTCGGCCCAGTCCACGGCAATGGCATGACCCCACAGTTGAATACGTCCTGTGACAGAGAGGACAGGTGAGTATGACCTGAGACACTGAGGACAGCTGAATGCAACCTGAGACAGAGAGGAGAGGTGAGTACGACTTGAGACACTGAGGACAGGTGAGTACTACCTGAGA